GGTTGCACTTCATGCCAGTATTTATTGTTAAATTTAAGTATTACAACCATTCTTCAAAGATCGCGTTCAAGTTTCGGGCTAAATACTGTCAGATGTATACCGATAAAGCGTCGGAGTAACTACTAACGTGGATTCATTGAGTCCTTCTGTGTCGAGGAATGATTTTTTGTTTTTTATTTTGCTTGGGACATGCAAAACTAGATGATACATAATTAAAAAACGAGACAGATCTCGTTGTTTCAATGACCGAAAATTTGTGATTTTCTTCTAGCCTCATTATAATTAACAATTATTCCACGACCGCGCTTGGAAGTTTTTGCTAGTTTTTAATAATTTTTATTATTAAAAACTAGATCATTGGATAATGCAATTTAAGAATTTTTATTGGCTTAGCCATTATGGTATATCAGCCAATATACCATAACCTGCAAATATGGTAAGCGGACATATCAGCTTAAAATTAAACGGGAGCTGAAAATTTAATAAAATTTAATTTAGTGTTTTTAATAAAACAATTATTCCACTCGCGCTTGTTGGATATGAGATGATTCTAGCCAACTTGGCGCTATGCTCCTCGTTGGCTATCTATCATCTCATATTCAATGCGCGCTCCTGGAATAATTGTTAATTATGTTACATGTAGCAATCTCATATTGTCTACATTGATGGTTATTATGGATACAGTGGAAGACATGTATTCATTAATAATTGTATGGCACTACGAAAAAATTCAACCTCCGGTATGGTTGATGTCAAACATCACATATCCTGGAAAGTTAACCCACAAACTGCTGACACGTAATGAAGATCTGGTATCTTTTATAAAGGATAGGGTGTTCTCTCCCATGCTCTCCAGCAAGAACAGTTGGGTTACAATGTATTAAATCATTCTCTTTGCTCGCCCAGAAGGGGACAGATTTGCTGCAAAATTACTCTTCACTTAATGATATGTGCTTTTCCATTTAAATCAGTGGCTGACATATGCCACTTTCTTTTGTTTGATCTATTTAGGATAAAGCCCTTTTAACTAAATCATAAGGAATATGATAATAATATGTATGTTATATGTTACTACGCTTTACATACTTTTTCAACTATGTGTTTCAGATATTGAAATGAAATAAATACTAATTCATGCACAAATGAATACTTAATTCTTTACAGACTATTACCTATTATTAGCAATTATTGCTCCTACAAGAGCAAGAACTTGGTCTTGTGGGCTTTCATTGTGAGCATTTGGGGATCCATACATTAGTGGAGACACTCTCTGCAACTATCTTTGCAAAGAAAATACTAATCTTTTCACCCTTACTTAATTTCATTCATACAGGCATGGATGAGAACCAGCAGCAAAGCAAAATAAAGAAAACTGCCAATGATCATGAGGTGGTAAGCTCCATCGTAAACATTTC